ATGTGCAGATAATCAAAGGTCAGTTTCTGGTCAACATAAGTAAACAAGCCTGTTTAAGATAAATTCCCCCACACTCCCTTGTACCTACTCCTTGCCCTCTGCCTCAGAGTTATAGAACAGCTGCCTTCAGCTGTTCTCTCCTGGAGCTTTGCAGAGCCCTCTGATCTTTCAGAGGGCCTGCTTCTTTTCCCTATAGTTTCTCCCACCACTCTGACTGGTCTCCTACACTGAGCAATCAGGGAAGAGGGTTGGGATGTTGGTTCCAGTTTCTGACATACCTCATGTGTTGCATTCCCTACCCCAAGCTCCTTCCTCTCCCTTCTCTTTAGATCTCTAAGAGCTAGAAGTTTCCCTAAGAGACCACCCAAAACAAACCTCTCCATCCATGTATTCATTGAATACATCCTGGGGGAGGAGACAGACTATAAAAGAGATTCGGATGAGTGCTGTCAGGATGAAAAGGGTAATATAACAGACAATGACCGTGGGCAGGGGCAGTGTGTTCCTGGCAAAGGGAACTGCTAGTGCCAAAGCCTGAGGGCAGGAACTAGCAGGTATGAGGAAAGCGCCTAAGTGAGGCCCTCTTGGCTGGATGAGGTGGGCAAGGGGGACCCCATGCAAGGAGGTGCTCCGGGTCCAGCTGTGTAGCCTGGGGCCAGGGTGAGGGTTTGGTTATAGTCTGCATGATGCAAAGCTTCAAAGGGCTTTACGGTGGGAGTGATGTGATCAGATTACTTGTGTAACGAATTCTTCAGCCACCAGGAGGAGAATGGATGGTAAGGAGAGCCGGAGTGCACAAGGGAGAGAGATGAGAGTGGCTTGGACAGTGAGGTGGAGGGTCATGGTCAGATTCAGGATCCAGATCATGGTGAAGCTAACAGGAACTGTTGGACTGGATGTGGGCATGGAGTGAGGGCTGACTCTTGGACTTTTCACTTGGGGAGTTGAGTGAAGGGAGGTGCTATCTACTCAAACGAAGAAGCCTGGAGAAGGAGTAGGTGTGGGAGGATGGGTAGAGGGGAACAATGGTTTCATTTGGCCATGATGGCAGACCTTGCTGGCTGCTCTCCCAGGACTGAGTCTCTCCTCCCTTATAACAGAAACCTAAAAGTGTTTTATTTTGTTGCTGTTGTTGTTTTTGAAATGAAAGGTCTCACATATTTATTACTGAACCCAGCCAACCAACGCATTCATAACAGATTCAGAAAGGAAAAATATATTCCCAGTAAAACATGTCTAATTCTCCAGATAATGGTGACGTTTTCAGCTTGATACGGTAATGTGATTGTGACCTTCAGACAGCATAAATGTGTGTGCCATCTCACGTGCAATTCCTTATAGACCCAGCTTGGTTCTTCTCCGATGTCTCCTTTTGGAGTTGTACCTGATTTTATTGCCAGTTTTCATCCTAATCCACTGGGGAATGGAACGATTTTGCTTTTGTTTCTTGGCCAGGAATCGCTTAATCCTGAAAGTCTTGTGAGAAGACATGGCAAGAAGCGGAGTCAAGCACACACCATGATGGCAGAGAAAGGAAGAGAGGGGCCATTGTTATTGTTGTTAAGTACTCACTTGTCTGGCTCCTTCTTGTACCTTCTGCCCTTTTCCCGTCCTCCTTTTTTCTGGAACAGAGATGTGATACCTAGAAGTACAGCAGCCATCTTGTGATCATCAGGGTAAAAGTCACATAATGGCTGGGACAGGGAGATGGATAGATCCTGGGTCCTTGATAATATCATTGAGCTGACATACCAGTCTAGGCAAGTTGGTCATTTTACTTGTTTAAGCCACTGTTTTTGAGCCACCACCTCAGGCCCTTTGTGGCTTTTCATTGCTTGCTGCTGAATGAAGTCATAGCTGATGGAGTCATGTTGAGTTCAAGATTTTTGGAGGAGGGACGTGGGTCTAGGGAAGGAGAAGGAAGTTACCCCTATACACTGAGCTAGCCAACCCAGAGTTCAGTCATTTATTCATTCAAGAAATATTTATTGAGGATCTACTATGCACCAGGAACTATCCCAGGTGCTGAGAATTTAGCAGCAAAGCAAAGATCCCCGCCCTTGAGGAGTTTGCATTCTGCTGTAATCAAGAAGCCAGCCTGACTTCTGGGCAATTGCATTTCATTTAATCCCAAGGGTGGTGGGGTTTGAGGTATGAACAGGTGATGGTGGTCAGGCATGGCATGTCTATTCCCACAGCCCTCCTCACCCACTCATGATGTTAGCAAATCAAAATGGTCAACATATTTCTCCAGTGTTTTCTAGGAGCCAGGCACTGTGCTGTGTTCTGCCTCTGAGGGGGAGGTGTTCTGATTATCCCCATGTTCTAGGAAGGTTAAGAAAGCGGCTCTAGTCACACAGCTAACCAGCGGTTGTGCTAGATTTAAACCCAGGGCTTTCTGACTCCAGAAATGCACTGACCCCCTCCACCCCCGGGCAACCTCTTTAAAAAAAAAAAAAAAAAAAAACCAAGGGCCAGGCGTGGTGGCTCACACCTGTAATCCCAGCACTTTGGGAGGCTGAGGTGGGTGGATCACAAGGTCAAGAGATCAAGACCAGCCTGGCCAACATGGTGAAACGCCATCTCTACTAAAAATACAAAAATTAGCCGGGCATGGTGTCACGCACCTGTAGTCCCAGCTACTGGGGAGGCTGAGGCAGGAGAATTGCTTGAACCCGGGAGGCGGAGGTTGCAGTGAGCCGAGATTGCACCACTGCACTCCAGCCTGGCGACAGAGCGAGACTCCGTCTCAAAAAAAACAAAACAAAAAAACACATTATTGTCTAGAAATCTATATTTTCAAAATTCCCCACAAAAGATGCTGCTCTCTTATTTCCCCCATTTTCTTCCTTTTCTTCCATACCTCTACCATAAAGGACATTTTTATACTATATTAAAACTTCACCCAGATGTCCAGACAGCTCTCCACCTATGTATTCCTCTTATTTGCAAGCTGCATGTTCATGTAGCCATCTAAGATGCCAGATAGCCCTTGTACTCCATTCCCCACTTCATTTCAGCATCACCGGCTTTCCTGTTAACCCACTGAGGAAAGCTTTGGGATTGAGGGGTAGACTTACCGTAACTATGGGCAAATGCTGCAGGCTCCTGGACAACCTCTTGGCCCCTTTTGCTGTACCCCTTTTTGTCATTGTTTAACAAACCATTTCCTGATTTCCCCTTTCTCCTTGCTTTGGAAAGGGACAATGTATCTTGTTCATTCCTGTGGTCCAGACACCTGAGTGAAGGCCTGGCACCCTTCATTCCTCCATCCCACTTTTTAAGAAGCTTCTCTATGCTGAGTGCTGGGAATATAGACAAGTCACAGAACAAGACACACAGCCCGGGAGGGAAACAGGTAATTAACAGGTGTCACAGTGTAATGGGTCTGGTAGGATAATCAGAGGGACCAACCTTCCTTGGTACAGGAAAGGGCATCCAAGTCAGACCAGGGTGGTGGGGACCAGTCAAGGAGAGCTGCCTGGAGGAGTTGACACCTGAGCTGAGTCCCAGATGAGAAGCAGGAGTTGAGCAGGTAAATAAAAACAGTGGGGCCAGGCACGGTGGCTCACGTCTATAATCTCAGCACTTTGGAAGGCCGAGGCAGGTGGATCATGAGGTCAAGAGATCGAAACCATTCTGGCTAACATGGCGAAACCCCGCTCCTCAAAATACAAAACTATTAGCTGGGCATGGTGGTGCGCGTCTGTAGTCCCGGCTACTCAGGAGGCTGAGGCAGGAGAATCTCTTGAACCTGGGAGACAGAGATTGCAGTGAGCTGAGATCGCACCACTGCATTCCAGCCTGGGCAACAGAGCGAGACTCCGTCCCTCACCAAAAAAAAAAAAAAGCAGTGGGGGTGTTCCAGACAAAGGGATAAGCACATGGAGGGTGGAGAGAGGCGAGATGGCAGCATGTGAGATGGAGGCACACTCATCTCCCACTAAGGAGTCCTGCCTGGGCATCCTAGAACCCTGGGGCCAGAAGGATCTTTAATCATCAACAAATCCAACGTCCTCCTTTTCCAAATAAGGCCCAGAGAGGGGAAGCCATTTTTCCAAGGTCACATAGAAAGCTAATGATGGAGAATAGACTCAAACTCACTGCACTGCCTGGGTTTTGGATTTTCTTTTTTTTTTTCTTCGATTCCCTCCCCCTGCCCTTCCCTCCCACGGTCCTCCAATTCATATTTCTCACATGCCTACTTTGCACCAGCCCAGTACCCTGAGCTCCCTGCCCTAGAACCTTAGGCTTCCGGAGCCTGGGTCATCACCACCCCTCCTATCAAACCTCCTCCCCACACCCTGTTCCTGCCTGACCTTTCCTACACATTAAAAAATCCAGATGCTTATGTTGCTTCCCATACCAACAAGATCAGAATGTCTGGGGGTGGGGGCCAGGTGTCAGTATTTTTAAAGATCCCTGGATGATTCCATTTGTAGCAAAGTTTGAGAACCACTGTTTTAGCCTTGATGAAGGGCCCCTCCACCTCCTGTCCCTTGGCCTCTGGGTTGCAGATGACCTGGTGATGTTTCTTTTTCTTCCAGATGGACTTCTGGACTCAGGGGTCTGGGCCCCAGCACAGGTCTCTGCGGAGCAATCTTGTCTCCGCTCTGTTCCTGCCCTTTGTCCAGCCCTGGGCCTCCAATCTGCATTGATTACCTGGTCTGACCTATCTCACCATCACTAGATACTTAATAAATATTTGCTGTTGATGATGGCAATGACCTTGAGACTGATGAACAGTCTGGCCAAGAGGATCCTTGATGTGGAAGATAGAAAAAGCCTTTGGGGTCAGGCAGACTTGGATTCTAATACCAGTCAGTTGTGCTTGCTGTGTCTGAGCCTCAGTTTCTCATCTGTGAAGAGGAGGTAGCAGGAATGAAAATGCCTGCCTTGCGGTTTGTTGTAAGGACAGACACAGCCAATGTAAGAGAGATCAGCAGCTCACAGACCAGTTGCTCTGGGAGCAGACCGCTCTTGCGCTGATGGTAGGGAACTATTTTTGTGCATGGCAAGTGGGACCTTAGGAAGGAAGGCAACTGTGAGGCTTCTGAGAAGGACCCTACACAAGGGAGTTTCCTCCCAGGACACGTGAATGGAGAGGGTGGCAGAAGCCTATGGGCAAGGGTCACAGGGCAGCTACAGAGTGCCACCACCCTTCCTGGGGAATGCAGGGCAAGGTCCCTGGTGGGAGTTTTCCTGGGAAGCCAGAGAAGCACCCCATGAAGACAGAATCAACATTTGGGTACCTTCAGTACCCAGAGGCAGCAATGCCAACTACAACCACGCTCTGCATAGATTCTCTGATCTCTTCCTCCTTCATGGCACCAGCCCTGGGGAACCAGCATGGTGGGGAAATAATAAAGCTGGAATACAACCACTTATAGGCTTCACAACCTCCTCCTGTAGACACCAAATGGATTTTAGGATCACATTTTATTTCTCACCTGAGCAAGAAAAGCTACAGGAGCATCTCAAGCAGGGGGCAGGAGTCTCCAGAGGAGTTCAGGGGGCTCTGGCAAGAAAAATCAAGGGTCTGCATTCAAGAACTGGCTCCCCTGGCAATTGTATTACGAAGCCCATGTGTGCTGGGTGCCGGTGAAATTGCTGTCAAATGCCTGTGCGGCCTTGGCAAGGCCCTTTATTTCTCTGGGTCTCCGTTTCTCTAGCTGTGAAATGACTGTTCTAAAAGAGCCCTGCTGGACTTTGGCAGTCTGTAAGAAGACCTGAGTTCTCCTCTCAGTTCCAAGCAGGAAAATTGAACGTATCCTGAGCCCAGAGCCTGCAACAAACTCTGGGCAGCCTCAGGAAGTCAGGCAGTGAAGTCCGAAAAATGATCTCTTCTGTATAGGGAGGAAATACAAATTTCAAAATTTGTAGTTTGAAAATGTCAGTTGCTATGTTAATTTTTATGTTACTATTTTTTCCATTTCCTGGTAATGACATGCTGTTATCTTTATTTATTTATTTATTTGTTAGAGATAGGGTCTCGCTTTGTCACCCAGGCTGCAGTGTAGTGGCACTACTATAAGCTCACCGCTGTCTGAAATTCCTGGGCTCAAGTGAACCTCCCACCTCAGCCTCAGCAGCTGGGACTAAAGGCACATACTACCACGCCCAGCTAATATTTAAATGTTTTGTAGAGACTGTGTCTCACCTTGTTGCCCTGGCTGTTCTCCAACTCCTGGCTTAAGCAATCCTTTGACCTCAGCCTCCCATGTTCTTTTTTAAACAGCTTCTTTAGAGCACAACTTACATACCATAAAGTTCACCTCTTTTAAAAATGTACATTGCGGCTGGGCGCGGTGGCTCAAGCCTGTAATCCCAGCACTTTGGGAGGCCGAGACGGGCGGATCACGAGGTCAGGAGATCGAGACCATCCTGGCTAACACGGTGAAACCCCGTCTCTACTAAAAAATACAAAAAACTAGCCGGGCGAGGTGGCGGGCTCTGTGTTCCCAGCTACTCGGGAGGCTGAGGCAGGAGAATGGCGTAAACCCGGAAGGCGGAGCTTGCAGTGAGCTGAGATCCGGCCACTGCACTCCAGCCCGGGCCACAGAGCCGGACTCCTTCTCAAACAAACAAACAAAAAAAAATGTACATTGCACCAGGCACGGTGGCTCACGCCTGTAATCCCAGCACTTTGGGAGGCCGAGGACGGCTAATCATGAGGTCAGGAGATCGAGACCATCTTGGCTAACGTGGTGAAACTCCGTCTCTATTAAAAATACAAAAAATTAGCCAGTGTGGTGGCATGCGCCTGTAGTCCCAGCTACTTGGGAGGCTGAGGTTGGAGAATGGCATTAACCCAGGAGGCAGAGCTTGCAGTGAGCCGAGATTGCGCCACTGCACTCCAGCCTGGGCGACAGAGCGAGACTCTGTCTCAAAACAAAACAAAATAAAAAGAAACAACAAAAAAAGTGTACATTGCAATGACTTTTAGCAAATTTACAGGGTTTTGCAACCATTACCTCAATCTAATTTTATTTATTTATTTATCTATTTATTTATTTATTTATTGAGATGGAGTTTCACTCTTGTTGCCCAGGCTGGAGTGCAATGGCATGATCTCGGCTCCCTGCAACCTCTGCCTCCCGGGTTCCCTCCCGCTTCAGCCTCCGAAGTAGAGGGGATTACAGGTGCCTGCCACCATGCCCAGCTAAAATTTTTTTGTATTTTTAGTAGAGATGGGGTTTCGCCATGTTGACCAGTCTGGTCTCGAACTCTTGACCTCAGTTGGTCCACTCGCCTCAGCCTCCCAAAGTGCTGGAATTACAGGTGTGAGCCACTGCGCCTGGCCCTATTATTATTTTTTTCTTAGAGACAGAGTATGGCTTTGTCACCCAGGCTGGAGCACAGTAGTGCAATCATAGCTCACTGCAGCCTTGAACTCCTGGGCTCAAGCAGTCCTCCCGCCTCAAGTCCTCCACCTCAGGCGTGCACTACCATGCCCAGCTAATTAAGGTGACATTTAAATAGACCTGAGGGAAGTGAGGAGCTGCCGCTGTTTGGAGTTGTGTGACCTGAGCCAGGCACAGGGCCCTGCACTTAGGAGGGCCCCATGCTGGATGTCAGCTCTGCTGTCCCTATCTTGAAGTGCTTAATTTTTATTTATTTTATTTTATTTTATTTTATTTTATTTTATTTTTGACAGAGTTTCGCTCTTGTTGCCCAGGCTGGAATGCAATGGCACGATCTCGACTCATGGCAACCTCCACCTCCTGAGTTCAAGTGATTCTCCTGCCTCAGCCTCCTGAGTAGCTGGGATTACAGGCATGCACCACCATGCCCGACTATTTTTGTATTTTTATTAGAAATGGGGTTTCTCCATGTTGATCAGGCTGATCTTGAACTCCTGACCTCAGGTGATCCGCCTGTCTCGGCCTCCCAAAGTGCTGGGATTACAGGCGTGAGCCGCCATGCCCGGCCTGAAGTTCTTAATTTTTGTGTGCATTTTCCCTGTGTACAGGGTATGTGGCCAGTCCTGCTGAGGCCAAATGAGTTCCAGGCAGAAGGAACACCAAGTGCAAAGCTCACAGAGTGGGCAGGTGTTGACATCTGGAGTAGGAAAGGAGTCCACAGTTGGCTTCTCCTCTCTTTCTGCCCTTTGCCCTTTCATCTCCTCCCCAGCTGCCCACTGTGGTTCTGGCACCTCCAGGGCTGATGCAGGAGGGAGAGGGAAGAGATTCCGGAGTCAAGAAGGGTCTGACTCCTGGGTACTATCTTGAGCAGGCGTTAATGCTCTCTGGGCTTGGCAGGGGTTTAAAGCTGATGCTCGGCCCGGTGCAGTGGCTCAAGCCTGTAATTCCAGCAATTTGGGAGGCTGAGGTGGGTGGATCACCTGAGGTCAGAAGTTCAAGACCAACCTGACCAAGATGGTGAAACCCCATCTCTACTATAAGTACAAAAAATTAACCGGATGTGGTGGTGCGCGGCTGTAATCCCAGCTACTTGGGAGGCTGAGGTGGGAGAATAGCCAAAATTGCACCACTGCACTCCAGCCTGGGCGACAAAGTGAGACTGTGTTTCAAACAAACAAAAAGCTGACGCTCCTTCTTGTTTGGGGGGTGGGAGAAGCACTTTCATGGAAGTTCTGGTCTGGCTCCCACCACAAAGCCTGGGACAGAGACTTATGTGGCAGAGTTTGTATGGGAGGTGATCCCAGGATGTCGAGTGAAACAGGAAGGAGGTTGCTGCTTTAGGTAATGGAGTCCAGATTCCAGGAAACCCAATGGGCAGACAGAACGAGTTCTCTTCTTTTGGACCAGAATCTGGGGTTTCCTCAACTGCTCCCACATCCCACTGGGTGTCAGCTGCGTGCGCCTCTAGTCTACATCTAAGCTAGTGGGCTGAGCAGCCCTCCCAACTTCAGAGGGAGCCCCGAGGCAGAAAGCAGAGGAATGCCAGGTGGGCGAGTGGGGTGGGGCTGGTGTCAGCATGCGTGGCACAGTCCCCATTGCAGAGGCTGACCTGAGCTAGACTGAGAAGCTGTGACCTGGCACACTTATGCCTGCGGCCCTGGGGGTGGTCGCTGCGGGGTCTCCCGGCTGCACCCTTGTGGAAGGTGGATAGGTCTCCACCAGCCAGGTGCTCATGATGACCCTCAATCCCAGGATATCCCAGACGCCTCCAGCTTCTTCGTGCTGAGGCCTCACGCCACCAGAGGAGACCTTCCTGGGATCTGGATCCGAGACCGCCCCAGGCGGACACTCTCTCCTGTGGCCACCTGTGTGTGCGGTGCCCTCTGGCCGCAGCCCTCTACTCTACCGCCTCAGGAGGCTTCAGGCAGTCCTTTCTCTTTGGCTTCTCAGGCAAGAGTCAGACACCAGGTCACAGGGTCCCAGGGCACACCCGGCACCTCTCTGACTGGTCTCCTGGAAGCCCTGTCCCTGGGCTTGAAGTGAGAGGGAAACCACCCCCTCCCACCCAACTTTCTACCCCTGCTTTCCTAATGTCATCTGCCACCAACAGGTCCCCTGTGCACCAGCCCCAGAGCATGACAAGGCCCCATTCCCTAAGCTTACCCCTCCCCTCCCACCACTGTGCCCTGGACATGCTGTTCCCTTTGCCTGGAAAGTCCTTTCCCCTCCTCAAGACTTGGTGAACTCCTCCTCATTCTGTGAGACTCATCCTAGGAGGCCATAAAGCAGTGAATCTGTTTTGGAAATCAGTCCTGCTCCACCGTGCTCCCACTGCACCGTGTTCACACTGCCCTGTGCTCCGACTACGCTGTGCTCCCACTACGCTGTGCTCCCATTGCCCTGTGCTCCCACTTTATTGTGCTCCCACTGCCCTGTATTCCCATTGCCCTGTGCTCCCGCTGCCCTGTGCTCCCGTTGCTGGGTGTTCCTGCTGCACTGTGCTCCTGATGTCCTGTACTCCTGCTGTGGAGTAAAGAATTGAAATAGAGTAATACTTGGCATTTCTTAAGCAGTTACTATACGCCAGGCATTGTAAGCCCTTTCCTTCTATGATTCCATTCGCTTCTCATGCCAACTCTATGAGGTGGATATCATGACCCTGCTTTTGAGTTGAGGAGACTAGCGTCGGGCGAGGTTACAAAACTTACCAAGATCACAAAGACCTGGTACATGGTAGAGTTCAAGTGTGAACCCAGGCAGAATACACCCATGTGCTTCACTGCTTTGCTGCCTCTAGTGAATGGTGGCCTTGTTTTGGGGGAAAAGAAAAGAAGGTATTGGGGACAGCTCAGGCCCCACACATTTATTGTTTCTCTTGCTTTAGGTCCACTGAAACCCTTACTGATGCTCTCCCAGCTCAGAGCCTGACTCCTTTTGGTCTCTGAGCTGATGGTCTCCCAGCTCAGAGCCTCTTGAGTCCTTTCAGCTACTGGACTTAGGTCTGCCCAGGAATCCAGGCTCGCTGGAGAGTTTGATCTACTTGGGGCTGAGCCTGGTAAGCTGGAAGGGCAGCCAGATGATGCACAGGCTACCCACAAGGCTCCCTTTCAGGGTGCAGAGCTCACAGGGTTATAGGGGTCCAGGCTTCTGGAGCCATGTATCATCAGGCCTTACTTAGATGGCCAGAATGCTGTCAGACTGCCCAGACTGGGCTGGGGAGGGCAGGGCAGGGAGGCACCTGGACTGGGGAAAGAAGTTGAGCAGAGCAGGACAGAGAAAGAAGTGCCCCTGCCCGCAGCTTCCCTGCTTGATATCAGCACTGTGGAGCAGATAAGAGCAGGCTTGGATCCAGGTCCACCACTAGCTAACTGGGTGGCCTTGGGCAAGTAGCATTCTCCCAGGCCTGTTTCCTCATCCACAGATGAACATATCGGCAGAACAGCCTCATGGACCTACAGCACATAAAAGGGGCTTTGCATCCGGCCATAACTGTCCACTGTCTTTACTTCTACTATTTTATCCTTCAGCTCTCAAATAGCCACAGCCTAGTTTCATGCAAAGTGAATTCTCTCCCACAAGCACACCTCCAGATCCA